CATCACTTACACTGGATTAGTCACATCTGTATAGCAGTGTCATGTTTCTTATTGTACATTTTACAGTCTTTTAAACCGTTTAATTCAGGGTAAACATTACATTTAGCCCTAGACTCTTGGAGCCCAGCTCCATATATAATTCATAAGGAACTGTAATGTAAGGCTGTGAAACAAAAGTACAGTTACAGAATCACACTTCACAGATGGACAGGGTGTTAAAGCTATAGTTCAGCTAAACATGAACATGTGCTGTAAATCTGCTCATCCTCAGTCTTCTCTCCTGATTCACACCAGAACACTGACTCACTGGAGGAAGAGTTATTATGGATTATGGACTCTATGGTATTTTCATTAAAACCATCTTAATGCTGGATTTGTTTCAGCTTTTGTCTTCTCCAGATGTTAACTGATGGACTGGAGTGCTGTGGATTATTGTGATGTTTTTATCAGCTGTTTGGACTCTCATTCTGACGGCACCCATTCACTGCAGAGCATCCATTGCTGAGACACTGATGCAGTGCTACATTTCTCCAAACCTGATGAAGAGAAACACTCATCTCGGATGAACACACTTTCAGCTCATGTTCATGTTTGGCTCGTTCGCTCACAGACTCTCGTGTGTCTTTCTCTGTGTCTGTGTCTGATAGCAGCCAGAGTCCTGGAGCCGCGGTTCCACCTGGATCTGGAGCGTAACGAGCCCTGGTCCTCCTCCGGCTCCTCTAACAGACTCTCGCCGCTGGTGTCCGATCCGTCCGAGAGCAGCGGTGAGGAAGACGTGTCTGGTGCTGTTCAGCAGAGGCTGGCGGGGTCTCCTCGCAGAGGTCTGCAGAAGTACGTGTCCCGCTTCGACGACGCCATGAAGCTGCGAGGACAGCTGTCCGCTGAGAAGACGGCTCAGGACGGCGGCGGCGAGGAGCTGGACTCATTCTGTGTCTTCCGGCTCGTCTGCAGCGTCGCTCTGGCTGTCTTCGTGCGCATCTTCGTCTGCCAGTATCTGGTGAGTGCTGCGCAGACGCAGGCGTGGGATTCTGCTCCAGAGCTCAGCTTAACTCCGTCTCTTGTGTTTCTGCAGTCCGTCTTCGCACCGTTCCTCACTCTGGAGCTGGGCTTCATGGGATTGCACAAATACTTCCCCAAGGTTTGTCTCTGTTTTGACTCTGATAAAGTAAGTGAAACTGAAAAACACTTTCCACAGATTCCAGATGATGGTGAATATCGTGCAACACAGTATTTGTCGAGCATGTTTTCTCACGGTGAACTGATTGTGAGCTGTATATGTGTGACAGTCTGATGCATATCATTAACGCAGATTTGATTTTTGAAGCTTCTTGTCTTTTGATGGTGTCACAGTTAACCAAGGGCTCCACACATTTACAGTCTCCGAATTGAACACAAAATCAAGCAAACTTCAGTATTCGGAGAGGTTTGCAATTTGTGATCACAGAAATTAGGGCAAATTATGTGCAGCAGTTTGCATTTTATAATGAATTTTGGTTGAATATTTGCTCATTAGTTAAAACTAAAAAAAATGTTATTTCTTGAAATAAGGTAAGCATTAACTGAAATAAATTTAAATATAAAAAAAAAAAAACTTTAACTTTATTTCGGCCAGTTGCCAAGGAAACATTTCTCATTTTCATTTAGCTTAACTTAAAGTACTTCAAGTAAAAATAACTAAAACTGAAAAAAATTAAAACTATATAATTACTAAAACTTTAACTACAATTAAAATGGAAACTATAAAAACGAATTCAAACTTAATATTAATAAAAACTATAACATTATCTCAATGATACTAAAATACTGCATTATAAAGCCCGATTTTACCTGTAAATTAGATTTAAATAAATACGTTATCTTTATATGCATTTGTTGTTAAATGAGTTGATTACATCACTGATAAAGCCATTTTAAATTGCTAAACAAAATGCCAAAACGGTATTATAACAGTACAATGATGGAACTAAAACATGAGATGGTTTAAAAGATTTAAAATGAACAGTCTACAGTATAATCAGTGACAATGTGCAAGATATTGTGTTCAGCAGAGCAGAATTATGAGCATTTCTATGCTGCTTTGTGCATTAGAGACCAGGATCAACATTTCAGAAATGATGCACTAATTACACGAGAACATGAGGATTCAATCTCTTTGTGTTGTGAAGATCAGATCAGAAGGGGTGAGGGATCCTGATGTCCAGGGCAGTGTTTCTGAGAGCTTCTCTGTAGAGTCAGTGTTCAGTGACAATGTGCAAGATATTGTGTTCAGCAGAGCAGAATTATGAGCATTTCTATGCTGCTTTGTGCATTAGAGACCAGGATCAACATTTCAGAAATGATGCACTAATTACACGAGAACATGAGGATTCAATCTCTGTGTTGTGAAGATCAGATCAGAAGGGGTGAGGGACCCTGATGTCCAGGGCAGTGTTTCTGAGAGCTTCTCTGTAGAGTCAGTGCTTCTGTGTTTCTGTCTTCAGGTGGAGAAGAAGAGCCAGAG